ATCGTGCTCGTTGGTTGCAAATTACGGATTTATCCATCAGTAGGGAGTTTGTGCAGCGGCTTTTTTGAAGAGGTACATCCTTTAGCATAGTGGAATTGTAGGCTTTTTAAAGTGATGAAGGTTGTACAAAACATTTTGAGATAAGTCGTTGTATGGTGGAAGTTTAGGGAAAGGACAAGGATTGTTGGCTGTTCCTGTCCCTGTGCGTCCTAGAAGGCGTACAAACTTTGTTATTCATGCGCCTGACGTTCCAGTGGATATGCCATCCCTTGTTGAACCATGTGGTGTTCACTGCCGTCAAATTGATGTCGGAAATACCTTTGTTGTGGGAAGGAATCCACCAGTGGTAAGGTTTTCTTCAGTCTAATACACGAAATAATATATTAAGGAGTTCTATCACAGGAGGAAGATCGGAGAGATGAAAGTGAATCCCTCGAGGTTGACTACAATGAGTTTTATGAGAAGATTTGGCCAATTCTGGTTAAGAGGACGCCTGGGTTCCAATCAGCAAAGGTGCGGTTTTCTTGATAATAGTTTTGATTCATTTCCGAATGCGTTTTCTACCGTAACGACCAACATCAATTTTTGTTTCATTTTTTTCGAGCATGCAGAATATGCAGTGGTAACGATTTTTAGACCATCACCACGGGTTTGGGTAAAGGGTTAGCCGAATTTCTTCAGGGCCCTTTTTCAATAATTTGCTGTGATAATATTCTAGCTCAGTCAGAAGGCGTCTTCTCTATTCATAAGTAAGGCACCATAAGACGGGAGTAGAGGAGGGGGAGCCATCGCGATGCCGAACCTTGATGAAGTTAATAGAAAATGGAACACTGATCAGACCGTTTCGTCTCGGGATGAGCCGTTTACACGGCAACATGCTGGTGCAGGCGAAAAACTGTTCCCAGCCTAAATCACTTGAAGCAACTGATATGGTCATGGTATAGCCTCATACTTTCCTCACGTTTACGTTTGCGTTCGTTTCTCTCCGACTTTGTTCCAAAAGATGGCACATTGCGAGCTGTAGTGTGTTGTGGTCCCAAGATGGCTCAAGATCTTCGCGTTGTGAACTTTCGATCTGACATCCTGCTCCTCCCAAGTTCTTAAAATGGTGTTCATTATATCTGTGCATTCACAGCATCCGTTGACAAGAAGTTCGACCCGGCTCAGCTCAAAGGCGCGAAACAAACATCCGTAGTAATCAGGTCCTTCAGCTTGTGGAAGAATAAGGATGATAGCTATCAGGGCTAAATCCAGAGTAAAGTACTGCCAACACCTTTCTGCCCCCTTTTGCTAGGGATCTTTCCTCCCGACGTCATCGTACTGATCACCACGAGCTAAGCGAACAAGTACCTTCCATTTATATTCTAATTTCTAACAGTTTTAAGGCATCGTTTGCTCTACTCTAAGAAAAACATTGTAAAATTTGGAGAATTATTATAGCGCACAGACGGTTCCTCCCATGCTCACCCTGTTCCTACTAGAACAGACTCAGTGAATTTCATCCAGTTAAAGAACAGAAAATCAAAAAAATGTCTATCTCAAGGGGTGGTCTGGGTTTTTGACATCCCTTGTTATGTTAAGAGTTGCTTTCGTGAATTTTTAGCAGATGTTGCAGCTTTTGACATGTTTCGTTTTGTAGTAGTTGGATCTGATGACTTTCTAAGGTTGGCGGTGCTGTGACGTGTCATTCTAGTTGGGATTGATTTACTTGTTTTTTAGCAGCAAACACTGTCCACCCCTACGTTTGTGAGCCCTAAGTAAAGAGTTGATTCCGAAGTTGCTTCGTTGTGCGGTTCCATTTTGCAGGGAGTTGATCGAGCTGCCCACAAAAAATTAGGAGCGTTTAATTATCGTTGCTTTCGTGCCGTGGTGTCTTTTTGAACTGTTTCATTTATTTTTAATGTTAAAATGAAATTGATGGAGCGCTGAACAATGAATAGATTTTTCGCATTTGTTCTTGTCTGTGTCTGTTTTGCTTTATCGGGTTTCTGTTTAGATGTTTCTTGTTAATAAAAAAAACGAGGTTTCAGATCAAGTCAGCTTGGTGTGGCTTCCAGGACGTGAACATCTTCGACAGTGCCCCAGTAATCGGCGAACATCCTCTTTATAAGAATCTTATATGATGTGTGGATTTAGTGGCAGGTAGGCCTCCGTCTTTTTTTTTTTTTTTTTTTTTTTGTAGTGGTGGGGCACCTGTTTTGAAGGAAGGGTGACTGTACTGTTTGTTGTGCTAAGCCTTTTTTTGTCACTTTTAATGAATGACATGCTTGTGTTGTGTTATAACCGTCCCTCTTCATAGTTTTTCTAGTGTCGAAATCTTGAGTGGGCCACTTTTTTTATCGCACACTTCAGATTCAGTAGTTCCGTCACTTCACTGCGTTTTAGTAGGACTCATGCCAAACCTTGATAATTTCTCATAAAATAGAAAAGTAGAAACAGGCGACTCTAGGACTAGGTTGATATCATGTTCACCGAGATGCTTTAGCACGTTTTCATAAGTGGTTGTAATACGCTCTTGGTTGGGTGGTTAAACCCTCCACTTGATGTGATCAGCCTCGAAAAGATAAGCGCAAGTAGTGAATGAATTTGGTTGGTCCTTCCCCTTGCTCAGCGGACCGACATCGGTGTGAACACAATTTATGTGCGAGGACTCGTTTAAAGGCAGCGACTGCGATGGTTTTGTGTGAATTTAATGCAAAATAAATGAGGTGAAATGGTACCATATGGACCCACCACGAAGTGGTCAGAAGTCCTAACTATAGGGACGCTCTCTGTCCATTGATTTCATGCCCAGTTATCTTGTTACCTTTAAATAAAGATGCCACAACATTTGAGAAAGGATGTTTGTACAAGTCCTCTCAACGTCTCTGGTCGGGATTAGTCTTCAGTCTTGGATTTTTATTTTGAACCGCCTTTAAAACGTTTTTTACTACATTGGGTTTGAAACTATTTGGTGTAGTGCTAATCTCGTCTTCAGCGAAAGTCTTTTATTGCAGGGGTGCGATGCACGCACTGGCAACCGGACGAGCTTTCTCCGAACGATTATATGATGGAGCATATGTGAATATTAATCTTCGAAAATTTGATATGCGACGTATTGTTAAGATGGATAGGCTTCAAGAAATGTTTAGCGCTTAAAGCAACAACTCTGGATCAGTTGGTAGGGTAACAGTTCGATAATAAAATTGTGGATGCTAAGTTGACCAAAAATGAAACAGAGCAAGGCCAACCGTCGGCGAAGCCTTTAAATAAGGATCCCTCTCAGGCGTTTTGAAATGAAAGAGGGGCGTGTCAGACGAGTTGCCTGAACTTGCTTGATCCATGGCTCCAGTAACCCGCACATATATTTTAATTAGCCGTTACGTTGTGGGGTGTGCGCGAGGTAACTCGTCCATTAGCTCATATTAACCCTCATTAGCTCACTTTGTAAGGCTCTAGTGCCATTGTCGAGCCGTGACAACGGCGCGACTTTCATTTTCGCGGGCCACTATCCGACCTGAAAAATGGCCTGTTTGACACGACCCATCTGGGTTTGTTGCTTTAAGCTCAAAGTTGAGAAATGAATAAGAGTTATAGTATAGTGTTTCTAGAGCTTAGAACAATCCTGTTGATGTTGCTATTTTTGCTGTTGATCATGCTGTTGTTACGAGGTGTACAGTTAGAATTATCAATTCATTAGCTGGTTACTTTTTGTCATTGCGCAATACATGACTGATTTGAACTTCATATATTCTCAGGTTTGTAAACTGAAGCTGATATCAAGTTCATGTTGTGCAAAATCATCGATCTATAAATATTTATTATAAATGTTCTTGCGCTCTAAATTTTCTAAACTGGAAGTGTCGTTTTGTTGCCCATCGTCATAATCTTCTCCCTAGCGTAAGTCCCGCGCAGTCGCAGGGTCTGCTTGTGTTTGTCAGCCGTCGTCCGTTGATCTATCCAGGGTTTTCTTGGCCCTGACTTCAGTGAGCCTTTTGGTGACGCCTCTCCACCTCTTCTTTGAGGCGCTCGCGGCCGCTTGCCGCGCTTAAAATTAAGAAAGAAAAAACCTTCATAAACAAAAAAGTTCATTGCCATTCCTTTCAGATTATCCCCTTCTTAGCACGTCTCCATACCATCGGAGGCGCTGTTTTCGTTAACTGTATTCTTCACTCTCATGAACCACTACCGGACATCCTTCGTTTTGGACCTTGTCCAGTCACGTACTGCCGCAGGCCCATCTCAGGATCCTCATTTCCGCGCAGTAAAGCTGGCTTTCGTGGGTTCTTGTTCAGGGGACAGTAGCGCTGCCGTATAGCATCGCAGGCCTTACCACTGTCCGTACTTTCCTTTCAGCGCTCTGGAGCACCTACGATCGCAGAGGATTCCAGTGGACTCCCTCCATTTCATCCAGGCTGCGTTGATTCGTGCCTTTACTGCCTGATCCACGCTACCGTCGGCGGCCTAGATCGCACCCGAGGTATCGGAAGTCTTCCTCTATTCCATGCTCGTTCTCGACCGCCTCTGCACCCTTCTCAAAATCTCAGGAACCTGGTCTTATTGATATTAAGTCGGAGCTCCGCCTTCTTCCTGCCATTGCTGCGCCTTGCTTGGGAGTCCTTCTATGCTATCCGCTATCAGGCGATGTTCGCCACAGCGTAGAAGGATGCCCTAGAGCTTCCATGGCCCAGCCATGACATCTAGGGTTCAGGAGGGAGAGAAAGCGCGATCTCAGACTAATCCTTGGGCACCCAACCGAGACCCTACCTCCATTTGTTAGGCCGTATGGGGTGCGTATAGCTGCTTGGCTCCTTCGTACATATCCTTCACCAGAGAGATCAGGTGTTCTGGCACGTTTCGTTCCCTAAGCGACCTCCATAGCACTGCTCGCGGTAGCCGGTCGAACGCCTTCTCCAGGTCGAGGAAGGCTAGGTAGCAGGGTCGGCGCTTTTCTCGATACTTCTCCATCACTTGCCTTGCGATGAAGATGGCATCCGTTGTAGACCTTTCGGGCATGAACCCGAACTGTTCCTGAGAGATCGGGACCAGCTCCCGCAGTTTCGAGTCGACCAGTCGCTCGTACAGCTTCATTGTATGAGCAGTCAACTTGATCCCGCGGTAGTTGGAGCAGTCCATCGCGTCACCCTTCTGCTTGAAGATGGGGACGATAGTGCTTGTTCTCCAGGCATCGGCATCCTTCCTTCGTACCATGTTCCAGAAGGCGGTTGAGCCATCCTATCCTATCATATCTCGCGGAGCGCTTCTATGCCCATTTGGCCACCCCCTATTGCTACGCCTTCCCAAAAGCCTTTCATTCATTCCTTACAGTATGGCGGACCTTCCTTCTCTGTCCTCAGCCGAGAAAAACTGGACTCTTCGCTCAGTACGCACGCATTCTCTTATCCACCTGCTCTTGACTCTCAGCTGGCTGCTTCAGGATGATGCCGTCGCTGTTCCTTCCACTCTTCACACCTAATGTCGAGAATTCGGTCTCAGCTTCCCGCTACAAAGCGTCCATAACTGCATCATTAGAAGTAGCGACGACAGCCTGGGCAAGCCTCTTGCAACTTTTGCTGCCATAGAGGTCCTCGGGGTTAAGTGTCTTCTGCCGGCGCTTTTATGCTTTCTTCTTCCTCTTCAGGACTCGTTGGAGTTCCTCGTTCCTAAACCCTGCTGCACGCTGTAGTGGACCGCTAGGATGTGATAGATCAACTTCCATTAGCCCTCGTTTGTGGCCACCCTTCTCCGCTCGGTGCACCATCGGATTCTCCGCTTGGCTCTTACTCTGGTCTGTTAGTAGGGGCCCGTGTTGGGGAGCCAGTTCTTCGCCAGGAGAGTACTTGATGTCCTTCACAGTTTTGAGGGATGATCTTCTTACCAGCACATGGTCGATTTCCGTCTGTCTCCCTCCACTGCTGTAGGTTACCTTCTGAGTCTCCCTTTTCGCGAAGAACGTGCTGCAGACTGCCAGGTCGTGGGCTGTAGCCAGGTCCAGAACCCTCTCTCCCTCAGCGTTCCTCGTTCCTATTCCTCTACCTCCGTGCACCCTTTCCAGGCCTCTTCTGTCACTGCCGACGTGACCATGCTATGGTGAGGTAATCACCTTCCGAAATCGATCCCATGACATCTTCTTGGTTCAAGAAGTCGCCTTCATCACTTTGCGGTGCGTACACGGAGAGTATTGTCCAGTACCCCTCCTTCGTGTCTATCCTCACAGCCATGATCCGATCGCTGATCCTGTTCACAGCGGAGACATAGTCCTTGAGCGACTCCGCTACCGCTATGGCCACACCGTTCCGCTTGGTGTCTTCTCCATTGTAGTAGAGTTTGACACCTTCCCCGATTTCCCTGGCCTTAGCACCTTTCCATCGCGTCTCCTGAAGGCATAGGACTTTCTGCGCGTCATCAGATCAGCAACCTCTCGGGACTTCCCAGTTAGCGACCCTTTAGAGCCCTATTCGAACTGGCTTCTTCTAACATGGTTGGTGTGACTGGGGTCTTCATCAGCCGGCCTGTCAACCTGGGCCTGACGCTGGTACTAGAACCATTTTTGCAATTTTTGCAGGCATGGTTAAGCTTCGGCAAGGGTCCCAGAGGTACAGGCGTAAGCCTACACTACTAATCACCCGGCTCATCTACACAAAAACAAACAACATTCAAAAAACAGTTCCTCAACATAGAACCTGCAAGAGTGGGTTGACTCGATGATGAGGGAGTTGATTCAGATCTTTCAGGAACAGATCAGGACTTGCTTGAAATGTCAGAAATGGATCTCCATTGCTATCTCATCTTCATTGCTAAACAAGTGATGGAGAAGTATCGAGGAAAGCGCCCAGCCTGCTACCTAGCTTACCATAACTATTTATTTGTTTATTTATTTATTTATTGCACGCTTAGGTGCGCTATATTAATTCACATCTTAGCATCAGTAAAACTAGGGAACACAGAATAGATTTAAAGGAAGCGTTCGACTGTCTACCGCGAGCAGCACTCTGAAGAGCACTCAGAGAACGGAACGTGCCAGAACACCTGATCTCGCTGGTGAAGGATATGTACGACGGGGCTAAGGCAGCATACGCACCCCACATGGCCTAACGAAGGAAGTGGACATCACGGTTGGGGTGCACCAAGGATCAGCCCGAGCCCCTTCGTCGTCCTCTAACACTGGATGTCAAAGAATCCTCAGTGATCCCTCCATCAGATCCTCTAACAAGGATCTATTGGAGGGATCACTGAGAATTTCTACGCTGACGATATCGCCATGATAGCGGATCCAGAGAAGATTTACAGGGCAAGGTGCAGAAATGGCAGAAAGTGCTGGCAGAAGGCGGGCTCCGGCTGAATGTCAAGAAGACCAAGTTCCTGAGCTCTGAAGAGGTAACATATTCGATCGTGGACAGACACGGGGAAACATCGAAAGAGTAAAGATTTACGGATACCATTGGAGAGCGATTAAGCTTATCCGGACAGTGACGTGGACGCAGACCGTAAAGATCAGTGGGGGGGGGGGGGGAGTCCACTGGAATCCTCTGCGATCGAAGGTGCTCCAGAACGCTCAAAGGAAAGGTGTACCGGACAGTGGTAAGGCCTGCGATGCTCTACGGCAGCGAGTGCTGGCCCTGAACAAGAACCACGAAAGGCAGCTTCACTCGCCGAAATGAGGATGCTGAGATGGGCCTGCGGCTGGACGCGACTGGACAGGGTCAGAAACGAGGATGTCAGAGCGGTGCAGACTGCCCCTGTCCAGCTGAAGGTACGGGAACAGCGTCTGCGATGGTATGGGCATGTGCTAAGGAGGCCACAGGATCATCCGATAAGAACAGCAATGGACTTCGAAGCGCAAGGCAAGCGACCGCGAGGAGCCCCAAAGAAGAGGTGGAGAGATGTCATCAAGAAGGATCACTGAAGTCATGGCCACAGCAGAAGATGCCCTGGATAGAACAAAGTGGCGACGACTGACAAAGACAGCGGACCCTGCGACTGCGCGGGACTAACGCTAGGGAGAAGAAGAAGATGTAACTATCTGAAACGAATATCCCCTTTGTGATTTCTACGGGAAGTTTGGTCAGAGGCATTGCCGGTCACAAGCCATTCACAGGCCTTCGCCTCACACAAGCTTTTCCGTCAGTATTCAACCAACCTCGGCTAATTCGGTTTTTTTTTGGTGTCACTGTGCGAAATAGGACTCTTCTAGACCCATTTTGAACACTGACACAAAAAACCTGTTTGTCTTCAGAAAACAGCGTTCCCGCAACATCACTGTCAGAATTCCCTTTCACATCCATTTCAAACAATGACATAAAAGCTATGAAAATCTATCTATCCTCCTTTCAAAAACGAGAAGAGTGTCGGGTGCAGACCATACACCACAAGTGACGACGGCCTCCACAAAATGTAAATGTTTTCTGCCAATGAAATGATTAGCCTGTTGCAGTTGTATTCTATCAGTTGTCACTAATTACAACTATCATTTACCAAAAATCAGCTATCACTATGAACCACTACTAACCAGATTTACTTGGAGGCCGTCGTCACTTGTGGTGTATGGTCTGCACCCGACGCTCTTCTCGTTTTTGAAAGGGAGGACGTATGAGGGTCACAGCACTTCTGTCAAGCGTAGGGGGCTAGGCAATTTTTGTAGTGCTGTCTATTAGCTCTCACACATGCACACTAATACAACATCTCTGCTTCGTTTTATTTCTTTTCAAAGGTTCAGTCCTTATACTACACAAAGCGTATGCTTTTCCATTTGCACTCTAACCCTTGGTTGACAGAAGTCTGTAACCGTCTGCGAGGCGCTTACTGATTTATCTTGACTACAGAGGAGCGCCAAATGAGTGCACAGTAAAAGAACGAATCGGGACCTTACATCATTACCTTGACAAGAAACGCTCCCTCCTCCGCTTGTTCATATCCCATAGAGGATCGGCTCGCGGTTGAGTGCTTATTCTGCTCATAAGACCGACCAGCCCACATGTGTGAGGGTCAGCGTTTCTTCACCCCACCCCCCTTTCCAGAGGAGTTCGTCATCAGTCAACCGCGTTCCAGAGGTTTCATTGAACTCATTAACGATAACATACGGTATTTGATACCCGGATCAACCTGGACCATGCCGTGGTCATGTCAAACAGCGCCAGTTCACTTTTAGGACAACACACGCGTTGCTAACGCGTCGCGAACCCTTTGTGTACCTATCATTGCGATCGCACGATTGCGTTCTTCAAGAACCACAGTTATTTTTTTGTCGAAACGCGCCATCCATTCGGACTCGTTCTGTGAGGTTGACAATTGTGCTTACCGTGACCGCACTCATTACACATAGCGTTTACATTAAATGGGTGACGCACATGTGAAACACTTGATTTTTCTGTGGTAAACCACTTTGTGAAGAGCTCTTCGCCTGTGCCGTCAATGACCTGACACTGACAGGAGTTTGCATATTTACTAATGAAAATAATAAGAATATTACAAATAATTTGAATGTACATTCAAAAACAACCGAGTTTGGAAAGCTAAACTTGACACGATGTGGTAGAGGAGGAAGTGGCTAAAAGTGAGGGACACGGTGGTACACCGCGGAATAACTTAGCTCTCAACAATGACTTTTACTTAGTGTAAAAATCGATTTTTTCGAAAATAAATGAATGGAAGTGAATCACCGTTCATACTGCACAGCTTAATAAAGGCAATATGGACAAGAAGTGAACATTACAATTCGAATGAAATGATAGCATATAAACACACAACACACGCACACAGACTGGAGACGAGTTTCAATAGAAATCACGAATTCATCGATGTATGAAAAAATGTATTTTTATACATTATTCACCTTTGGAATGTCCATATTGTTCACAATATCAAAAATCGACTGCCTATTACGAACCGAGTCGACACGGTTCAAAATGGACGCCATCTGCTGCTGGAAAGCCGTGTCTTCCGCTTGATTCTGAGTCATACGCTGAAAAAATTGAATGGTAAGTAAATTGAATTTTAATCCTAAGTTAGAAAATTTCTACACTTGAAAGTTCTTTCGGTAAAAGATATTCTATGCAAGACAAGTTGGGGGGAGTGGAAAGGAAAATTGAAAGCAATTGACCAATCAGGGGAAGGACCACTTCCCTTCCCTCCACTATTGGTCCTACTTATTCCAATTGATGTCAGTGTGAGATATGCTCCCGGATATTTCCATCGTTATAAGAATACAGGAAAAGTGAACTAATTTTCGATCACTTCGTATTCGAACGTTTCGCTGTTTCTTTTTTTCAATGTTGGCACAGTTCGATGTCTCTTCCCTCGTGTGCGCTTCGGTCAAATTTTCAGAATGGGTCGTCGGAAAAAGAAAATGGGCTTTGAAACATTCGGAAAAGTACAGTACATAGTACAAGTGCATCTTTAATTAAGTTGGGTGAAAACCTGTTCTTCAACACGTCGAATGCAGCCATTGTCTACGCAACTTTTCTTAAGAAATGTTGACGCTAATGGCCTTTGGGGGAGGGGGAGGGGAATTCAAGACAGGGCTTTTGAAAACTACTGGTAGCTGACACAAGGGGGAGAAACGCCAGAGTAAACAAAAAGCGCTCCGATCAGAATCCACTCCCCTCGCTAAGGCTTAGACCTAGGTAATGAAGTGACTCATTCACTTGAAGTCTCACCTCCCCCCGCCAAGGATATGAGCGCCCAAAATTTGCATCAGTAGCTATTACTTCATCAATAATTTCATTAATGGTGATGAGTCACCTATTATTTGAACGATAATAGAAATTGAGAATTCTGGGACATAAAAATGAAGGACGAATTCGGCGAAACGACACGAAAGTGCGGCACGTATGTGTCCCGCAGTGTCGTCAAGGCGTTGATGAAGGAACATTCAACGCAGAAATGATCAAGCGATGGTTATAACGTAACTAGTACGCTGGGAATCATTACTAATCACTAATAAAATTGATGCCCTCGTAAAACAGAACAGGTCTCTTCCTTTGATTCCAAACGCAAAAGATGTCGCGCTTGTTTTAGTGCTTGTATATATTGATTGCCACTGCGCTAAATCGCTCCAGTGAGGTCGAGAACACGAAAGGTATAAACTCAGGTTGTTATTCTTGATCGGATATGGTAAATAAGTTCATCTAGAAGGAAAAAGGCATCAAATTGCACTTTTTGTTTGAAAGTCGTGAGTGTGGCGCACCCCAATTAGCAACTGTCCATCGTATTGGTGGTGTCAATCGTTTTATTATACTTTTTCACTTTCTCGTATCAAAGGATAATGGACTAGTGCGTAGAGTGTTTCACTGATACCATCGATAGTGGTCTTTGTTGGCGCCCATCGCAACTGATAAGAGCCGATTTGATAAGGGCTAGTTTAAAGTAATGGACCTGTCATCTGAAGGATGACGCCGAAGGGAAACCATCACATGACCCATGAACTTAATTATAAGTGAAAGGAGCCTTTCACGTACTTCAAGTAAGAAAGTGTAATTGCAGTGGTTTAGGAACAATATCGGTGTGAGGTGGATTAAATGACAGGGTACTGGCTACCCTTGGGGGTATTCGGAGCTAAAAAGCAGAAGGATTAGGACAAAAGTCCTTTTCCACACATAAACAGCTTCTGTGTCGTAAAGTATGACAACTTCGCAGAACAGCGCTATCACAAGATAAGGATGCATCCTCCGGGACCAAGCCCAGGAGCGGCAGTAACTTCAGGAAAAATGAAAATTGCTCACACACCCTGAAACCTCTTTTCCCGCCCGAGGCTAAGTCGCGTTTCTAACAAAAAGGAGGTGTTTTAGGCGGTTTGAAATGCATTGGAACCACAATGCCCCGCATCTTGCGATGCGCTGCGATTTATTGAGGACCTTCTTACCCGTCATAGGAGGCGGGGCAAAACTAAAAAAACACTTAAAAATAATCACCTAAATAATACACGCAAAAAGCGATTCGACCCTGAATAAAGAAACGCTATCATAGTTTCACCTTGAGGGAAAATAGAGAGCGAGGAGCCTTACATCCTCTCTGAAATCACCTCAAGTTGCTTGGACACAGGCTCGAAGACGCTGGGACCCACGATGGCGAGGAGCTAGTTGGCACCCAACATAATTCTTCCCTTCTTTTGACTTTCATAAGGAATCATAGGGTTCCGGGGGTGGCTCATAGGGTTCCGGGGAGTGGCTTATCCTTGGACTGGAAGATGCTCCATACGAAGGAATCCAGCGGATGGAGGTTGGTGGAATGAGATGCCATTCACGATCATTTGTACAGAAATCGGTTTGAAGTTCAGGTTGATCAGAAATGCCTTCACTCTGTGGACCCGAGTCAATTTTCGAAGCTACACTTTTGGTATTTCCAAACGCCGAGAGGCGACGATCGCTCGGAACCTCTGACTGTGCAAGTCAATAATTTCACATTATTATGATATGGATATGGCTTCATCGTTCCAAAAAGAGGCAAAATTTCCACAGTATTCAAAAGAGGAACACAGGGAATCGATTGGGAACAAAGAAAAAAATTTCAAAAGGGAACGTTCTGGCGGCCGGAGTTTCCATGCTCATGCTGGTTACCGTAATTTTGCCCCATTCTGTAATTCCAAATGATGAAGGATAGGAAATGGATAAAAATTGCATGGAAAGCGGTTTTTTCAAGAGAGGATGTCCAGTTCATGAGAAATCTCTCCGCTTCTAATCTTATTATCTTTCTACAATTCCAGAATAGCGATCTGTACTTGATACTTAAATTTGCATCCTAATTACATGGCCGACTCTCGAGGGCGGGGTTTGCGATTAAAAGGCAGTCTTATAGAAATGAGGGTAGAAGTGGTTATGATGACCCAAAGCGCGAAAAATTGACCCCTTCAGTGCCGATTTCCACATTGATGCAACTCTCATCGGTGCTGCCCTCTTCAACGCTAACGCTCTCTCTGCTGAACGGCTAGAGTCAGACGGCGAGAGGGTGGGCGTGCATGGGCGCGAGCGGCGCGTGTACGACCTTGCTAAGCCGGGGCTTATCGAAATATCCTGCTCTAAAGACTTAGTCCTTGAGGAATATTTCTTAAATTATATTAACAAGACCATCCGAATAATACAATTTGATCCTGTGAACAGCCTGGGCGTGATAAATCTTTTTTATTCTTTGATTGGTTTTTGCCTCATTTTGAGTTTCTTTCCGAAACACAAAGACTTCGTTTTGAGCGCCCCAGAACTCGCCCAACTTCTCCATTAGTCGCCGCGGTTCCAAAGTACAAGGCGAATCTGGTGCACTCGGTTTCCAACGATTGCTGGGTGAAGGGGACGTGAAACGATCATGTTTCGCAGCAACTGATACCGCCCATTACTATTTCGCGTATGCGATAATTTTCCGAAGGTCGTTTCAGTTCAAATACGAGTAGACACGCCAGGCACCAATCGACAATCGTACTACATACATATTGGTACTATACAATTTGTGCTGTAAAAAGCGAACTGGGACAACGGCGACAGCGCTGACGGCGAACGCCTCAACCGATCATGTAACGACGATCTCAGTGTTCTCATTACGTCGAATAGTCGAAAAAAGCTTCAAACGACTCATTTAGGTGGGCGGGGATGCGATCCGAGAACTCGACCGCTCTTCGCTGGGATCGGATTGAGAATGAGGAATGAAGAAGTCCGACTAGGAAAAACCTAATGCGTACCTCATGAAAGCTGCGCCGACGTTTCTCGCGCTCCTCTTTTTGTTGTCGAAGCGTCTCCATAAGCTTCTCATTATGTAACTTTAGTCGTTCCTCCATTTTGGACATGTAGTCGTTTAGATGATCCAGTTGGGAGTCAAGTTTGCGGATTTCTGGAATAGCAAACTTTTATTTGATTCAACTGAACGAAGGATTTCAATTGCTCACCATCAACGTCTTCAGAGCCTTCTTGAAGCGCCTCAAGGCCTCGTTGAACAGCTGTCTGTGCGCCGTTGGTGTCGTTGAGCGGTCGACCACGCATACGAACCACCGGCTGCTGCTCCTCTGTGGACTCCATAATCCTGGATAAGAGCACCACTAGCGGTGAGCCACGGGGTACGTCACGAGCACAAAAGCAAGAAAATGTTGAATAGAGGATAGAGAACGCTGGAGGGGGTGGAGGTTTCCGGTACGACTGATGATGACTAAAGGCCTCCCGGCTCCGTTCAACCCCACCCCGTTCTCCTCCCCTTATACGAGTTTCGCAACGACAAAGAGAAAATTCGAAAACGTGCTTCGTACGGCGTATTGTGTTGAATGAGAGAGTGTGTGGTGTGTCTTGTATGGGAAAACTCCAGCCACACAATGCTGAATCGACAGAGTCTGTTTTTTGGCCGTGCAGCCGGCACGACACGGTCCCCGGCAGGCTACCCTTGATAACTAATGGAAGCGTCATCAGGCGTAACGCAACGAACCGGAAAGGAACACGAAAAGTTCACAAACGAATGCCAGTGTGTGTGTGTGATGTTAAGGAGGCTCAGGCTCATAAAACGAACATGACAATGACGATGACAACGATGTCAATGTGGACTAATGGCGACATGGGCGGAGTCGCGCTACTGCACAACTTCGCAGTAGCGATCAATCAAATTACGCCAAATACTATACGACACACACAGGGTTAGTAGAAATTACAGTCGCAAAGGCGGTAATCAGTCCCGACTAGCCAGGGTCATCGTCAAGTGGCGTTACCCCGTACCGAACTTGGTTAGACGAGGGCGTCTTCGAAATGATGTGACGGGGGTGGTGAGCTTCCGCAGTGACTGCGGACAGCGGAGGAGGACGGGTTATATCCAAAGTATACACATAGAGCGCAACTGAACAAACTATTCCGACAGCATTAGTGGAACGACGGCCGCTTCTAATAACAGGTTACAGGCCCCCTGGGGAGAGTTTGAAACAAGTTGCATAAGAGGTGTAGAGTACTGTCATGGTGAGCTTCAGCTCAAGAAATCGCAATGTTGACGTCGTTATCGTGCAGTCTGCAGCTGTGTGCAACCAGCGATAACGAACAACGATGCAAAAACGATACTTTGTAACGCGCCCCATTGTTCACACTACTAGTCAGGTATACTGGTATTTTCTAGGCAAATCAGTCGACGACAGGAAACATTTGATATTGATCATCATAGGTCTTAACCAGATCCGATGGAGTGCCAACAAACAGCGAAAACTACCAACGAGAACAACATTTACACAGCCATCGTACGTTATTTTTATAGCAGCGGCGCTCATGCCGTTGGGGGGGGGGGGGCATTCGAGTGAGTGAACAAATTACAGCACTTCGACAAAGTTTAGAAAAGGAGAAGGGATTCTGGAGGATGATATGCGCAATGTTCGTTTCCCTCGTTTTCTCCCCTCTCCTGGGCTTAGTTCTAGAGTCACCACAAGCGGTTTTTGAAAGCCTTGGTTTTATATGCCCTCCCTCCCGTCAAGGCCAATAGCGCGATAGCAGCTACAAGTAATGGGAATACAAACTGTAGGGAGCATCCCACCAGCAAAAAAGTGTACGAAGTGCACGAGAAGCTATCGGTAAGACCCCCGGCCATAGTATTCGAAGTTCGAGCGATTTTAGAAGGGAAAGTGAGAGCATAGCCAAGGACACGGTCTCAGGTCATCTGTCAACCGCGAGAATGGCGTTCAGCGTTTTGTAGTGATGTCTGGGAGCTCTCACACATGCACACTATCACAGCATCTCTGCTTTCTTTATAGTTCAAAAGGCTTAGTCCCTAATACTTCACAAGGTATATGCTTTCCCGTCACCCTTTGGCCAAAAGAAGCCTTGTAACTCAGGGACAAAATAACCCAGGGATAACCTGAACCTCACGAAAAAGAAGCTCTTTGACGGCATGCTTAGAAAACTGCACTCCTGTTGAAGGAGACGTGATTTCTCGATTGTGTACCACGTGGTGACAGTGACAGATTGAAGTCGGGCGTCGGTCAGATCGTCCAGTTCATTGACTTTGTACAGTACGGATTTGTCGAAGAAAACGGTAGTAAGTCTAACATACACGAATAGGACCCGGTCTGGGGATAGAAAGAAACCGGGATGAAGCATTTGGCCGTCGAAAAAGTCAATAACACATTGTTTACCGGCGAGTCGCGCGACTAAACAAGCACAACCAGAAAAAGTCAGCCCATTCCCTCCCCGTATGGGAGCTTTTGAGCAACCGCTGTAAACATCGCTTCACAGTAAGTGTGCCTGAGATGGCCACGAAGCCATCACGGGGCAACAGAGGGGTTTGGGATTCAGGAGCATGCAGGACGAAAGGCGATCAGAAGTGGACAGCCGGCTCGAACCTTTCGATCCTGACCCATTTAAATGGGAAACGTCCTTGAAAAGGCCTTGAAAGCGAACAAAACGTCAACAGTAAACGCCAGAACCACTGGTCTCTCCAACGGGGCGTGAATTATAACAGACGACGGACGGTGCGGTCGAGGGGTGGAGTGGGGTGGGGGCGATGAGGAAAGACATCGCCACACCCATGGGCCGAGTTCAGAAAATGGATGACTAATCTGAGGAAACAGGTTCTTGCGCAGTAATGACTCAAGAAAGAGCGCACGCTATCTGATCATGATTGAGTAGGCAGCGAACATTTGGCCGGTGACAGATAAGGACATGAGTCGCGATTCACACCCACACTAGCATATACACACAACAGCGAACTGCAATCGATGCACAGACGCGAACTCAAGTGCACTCGCGCTCTCCACGGGGATCTCTGGACTCAGGACGACGATTGCCGTGCCGACGAGCGAGGTGACTGAAAGGGACAGCCGACATTCGGAGATGAGCGACCAATATCGAGCGATACACGCACACAAAAAAGGGTAATCAAAATCGATGGGATATGCCTTCTGAAATGTGAGGGCCAGAACCGGTCCAAAGTCGGCGCCGTCCACGACTAGCGCTAATGGACAATGTACACGCCTCCTGCAACACTCCGATCGGGGTGCGCACACAAAACGGTTAACTATTTTTTCACACCCTCACGAGTGCTGAAACGGGCACTGCAGTTATTCGGAGTTATTCGTCGAATTGTCAAGAATATCCAAAAACGGCAACGAACAACATCAAACACTCCCTGGCGGTCCGATGACGCATTTCTGAGTGTGACACTCATAGAAATTCATAAGCGGTTACATCATCGAACAGGCTCCATGAATGAACTGCAGCGGGGGGGGGGGGAAGGCGAGTGAAAAAAAGGTAAATAAGAAGCAACCAACGAAAAAAAATGATATTATTTGGCTTGTACATACTCCATGTGAAAAGGAAATATTATCTCCATAGAAAAGTTTTTAAACCCTACAGTCCGGAATAGGAGACTGAAAATATTTCTCTCTTCAGTAAAACATCTACGAAAGCTTGATTTTACAGAATTTCTAGCGTCAAGTTGGAGTCAAGCAAGCATGAGGGAAATGACGTTTCATAAAAAACGTCCTTCCAAGAGAATTGGCCCTTCCCAAGGACCCGAACGGTGCTTGGCATGTACCGTCCAACCGACATCCCCTACTATGAAGCCATTTTTTCGGGTTTCCTTCTCGGTAAATCAATGTCTAAGTGTAGGTCAACATGGGCGGATCCTGGCGAATATTATGAAAGATGTCTCAACAACACG